GTGAATTGATGATTGATTATGACACTTTTGTATGTTGAATAATCGATTGAAAAAGGAGACAATTGCCCATCTTTAATTTCCACCCTTGTGTATTCCAGGTTCCAGATCACACTAATTATACGATTTTCTGTTTGAGGAAAAGAGGTACGTTAGTGGAATAGTAGGGGTTTTTCTCCAGAAGTTGAGAACATGCAAAACTGGAGAAATAATGTAAATGGTCTCACCGTATGGTCAGTTTCGTCTGGCCAAGAGGACAAGCGGTCGGTAATTTCCAGGGATCTCGTAGATTTGAAAGGGATCTCAAGGGATCAAGGAGTATCTCCAAGGTATCTTCGAGGAAAATAAACTCTTCCACATCCGAAATGGTTGAATCGTGCACCTTTTGGGCATACATTAGGTTGCTTGAAATCTTCAAATTGATCACTTAGTACAGATACTTTGAACGAACTGTAATCTTCCGGGCGTTTCGATTGGAATTTCTCGAATTTGACCTCACGAAACTGATTTTCAACTAAATGTTTCATTATATCATCAACATATACATATTACAACTTTTTGTTGTTTCACAGTCATAATAGTATGAATTATCATGAATTCATTCGTCTCTGATAGTGGTTTTGATTAGCTTTGTCGGAGAGACTATAACAACATATTACATAGTGCTCCTCTTATTTTAAAATTTGGAATATTTGGAAAACCAAAAAAAATAAAAAAAACCGATTCGAAAGGGGGTCGTGGAATAGCAATGCTTCACTTCCTTCACTGAGACGACCGGTCAGTCTCATTAATTCAAAAAAACTGCAATAGCCTGTACGGTGAAATGGGCATTTGATTGTTGTGGAAACCTCTTGGATTATTGCAGGATTCAGGAAATGATTAGCACTTATTACACAGTTATTATCGTTATTAAATTATAAGTTTATTGAAAATTATATGAATAATGACTTATTATATCTGACATTAGAAAATTACTTTCAGTTACTTGATCCGAATTCACGTATCAATCATTTTAACAAATTATCTTCAACAAAACCTTACTTACAAGATGACGGCACGACTTACTGTTTTTTAATTGGCCATACTGTTTGATTGCCCTGTTCATTTAGCTTTTTTCACAAAAATCGATATAATTTAGTACTATTGACGAGCTTTCTAAAGATATATCACACATGGGATTTTAGGGGTTCCTTATAATAATTTATTATATGGTCGATACAAGAACATCTCTCTCACAGGAAATAATTCATGGAAGGGGGTTATTTAATAATACAAACATTTGAAGACTGTCGTAATAAATTCAGTACTCACGAACAATTCCTCTAAACGTAGCTGAAAGCCGCATGAGCTGGTCGGGACGGGCGGATGGTTGTCCAGGCATTAAGTGCAAAATTGTAGTAGAGGTAATTTAATAATGCAACGTTTAATTGAAAATTATATTAAATGAATGCAATTAATATGTTATATAGAAAGGGGAGCGTTTGTAAACGCCTATATTAATTGCATATAAATATGTAGTTGGTAAAAGTAAACTTTGGAACAAAAGCGAAACCCCTAAATTAAAGTACCGCTTACTACAACAAATTAATTAATGTAATTGCTACGTAAAGCATTCAATTGTCTTGCATTGGTAACAAAGAGTATCCTGAAATTATTCCAGATTTGTTTTACTGGTATCGATCTTTGCGTGCTAAATTGCTGGAATAAGGTAAAGTGATCGTAATTTCAGTTCCAAGTTCTAATAATAGATCAAACCTAACTCCATAAACGATCTTGTAATTGATTGGTACAGTTTGCTGACGTTTATTAGATGTGATCGTTTACCTCTCATTGAAGGTTCTCTATTTAAGTAATCCGACCATCTCTTTGGAACACGCGAAACTGCCAACCAAGTCATAAACCGTTAAATTCGAAATTTCATCAGTTTTGTTATTATACGAGGTGAATAGTGGGATACATACTGCAGTCTAGCTTCTGAAAGCGTTATCGGTAATCGACATGCATTGTTGCGAGATGGAAGGCGTGCTTTGTTATGGAGAAGCCTCAGAACGAATATAATGCTGTTTTCAAACTCATCGTAAGAAGTGTTTCCCAAAATAATGGAAGAATTTATTTTCACATAGCAATCTATCGCAGTCAAATGAGCGAGAAAAACATAATACATTTCTTTTCTAATAAAGAGAAACAGATTTAATTTATGATTTGTTAATAAAAAGACCTACCACCAACCCCTATTGGTAATAAATTTCATATTTTTGGCTTTTGTTATAAAATTAGGAATCGGGAAGGAGCTTTAAATATACTCACGGCGCGCGGTAATATACTTTTTCAATTTCTGGGTATAAGTATGTAAAAAAAAATTGGGTGGTGGAGGGCACTTTTTCTAAATTTTCTAATTGTGCGGAAAATTTGCTTTTTTGGATTGATCTGGATGCACAAATACAACAAAAGAGGGTAAAGACAGAGAGCGCACGAGAAAGTAGTAGTTACAAGGATCTAAGAGAGTATGGTTACCAAAACACTCAGGGGAGGGAAGGAAAAATGTTAAAATAATGACGAGATTCAGATGCGGCAAGGATGAGTGAGAGAAAGAGAAATGGAAACAAGAAAGAAGAAAAAAATGTAGAGAATCTGTGGAGAGGAAGAACAGACATGGAACCTTGCTATGGAATTACAAGGACGCGTTTTAAAGGCTTGAAGGTTTTTGGGCGCCCTTAGAAACTGTTGGTAGCTCTTAAAGGTCCACAAATACTGTTCAAGACATTTGAGGCAATTAAATGCGTTTAAAGGCCATTAAAGCTCGTAAAGTGTGTTAAAAGCTCTTCAAGATTCGGACATCTAAAGATGATCAAATATCTTAAAGACTATCCAGTATTCAGTACTCTCGTAAGCTCTTACAGGTTGAGCTTTGAAACATTATTAAAGGCGAAATATTCCAAACAATCTAGATAACTTTTGTACACTCTTTGAGACTGTTATTACCTTTACGGATGCTTAGAGAGACTTAAAAATTCTTAAGGCTCAGCTAGTAAAAATAGTTTAACATTAAGGACTCCATTTATAATGCACTTGTGGATCCTATTCAAGTCTTAAACGTTTGGAGCTTAAATGCCCTAAAACATCGAGACCGCGAGAGACTTTTAATAGTTTACAAAGACCCTTTAAATCTCTGAAGAACCGTCTCTCGGAGACTTTTTATAAACTTAGAGGTTTTTATCTTTTTATGGTGCTTAAAGTTTCGTAATATTCTTAAGGATCTTTTAAAATGCTTGGAAGTACTCAATTTCTTACAAAAATTGGCAAGATTTGGATAAGAAATTCGCTTAACAAAATCTTTTAAATGCCTGTTATGAGATTTAAGTGTCACTGAAACGCTGTGGAACTATTGAAACCTATAAGAGATCAAATATTTGATCGGTCACGCTCTTTAAAGGTGAGAAAGTTTCCCAAATGCCCTTTAGGGACTCGAGTGCTCGTAACCGCGAATAAGGGTTAGTCTTCAACACAGGTCCAGGAAGTTAGCCACCAATATGAAGCACAAATGACGTCACCATGCATAGTCCTTAGTGCTCCATTGTGCTTTACACCAGAAACACCCAGCCACACCTATGGCACAGAACACGGAAAACATTGGATAGGACTCTTCATGAAAACAATTAAAAAAAGTTCCTTCTGGTTACAGGAAATATTCCTGAATTGTTGGTGATTCTTATATACCCTAGACACCCCAACACTTGAATGACATTTGATATGATAAATTTTCTTGTTAACTGTGACAAAGTTTATTCAAAAATATAGCTCATGCGAATCGGATTCGAAGAAACGAGGATCAAACAATGTGGCTTTTACCTTCATTCCATATCATCAATGAAGATACACATTTACAATTTCTGAAATTTTAAAACCCTTGATACTGTATGCATTCCAGAGATTTTAGATTTCTTTGTAATTTTGCATCCAAAGCACTTCTCGAGAATATCCGTAAGTTGGGTATTAGAGAAAATATTATATATTATACACTACCGAGTTAAGCTGTTCTTTTTTTCTTTTGGAATTAAACTCCGCTTTATCCTTTAAATCTTTCAAGCAAAAGGAGTTACTCTCTATAAAGTGTAGAACAGACTTTTGGTTAGGGATGTGCATTATCTCTCCTTTTGTTAGTACACGACTTAATCGTACTTTGATGCATCCTGCTTTGTCAATTTTCCATTTACTACCGTCGTGGAATCCGGGATTGTATACCTAGGATTCCTTTGCGGATAGGCGGCCACTCCAGTTTCACATATTCGCAAAAAAGGAGACGAAATAAATCTTACCCGAGTGCCGTCCCCCTCCAAAGCACGTTTTCTTATTATATTTATTACCCGTCTTTTAAGTATTTCATTTCGACGTTCCGCGAAAAAAGCGAAGGACACAATATCCGGATAAAAGTATCCCATATTTTACTGTAAATGTTTACAGAATACATTGGAAGTGTTCCTCCTATTTCAATAAGGAAGTTGATTCTTTCCCCGAACACAATTCGTACCTATAATATAAAGTATCAAATTTGCGATTGTACAAATATTTACTTCAACTTCCCCGCACTATTCGCTTCAGTAACTTAATTAAATTCGGCCCGAAATTCGTTTATTGAGGAAATTTTTCATACTCCCGGGCGAAAGTTGGCGGAAACTTGCGGTAATAAAAAAGGCTAAAGAGTGCCTTCTCCCAGTATCACGATAAAATCCGGTGACTTTCAGTAAAACCAACATTATAAAGATTGAGGTCATTCGATAACGTCCCTTAGTTGACGAAGTTTCTAATTTCTTTGAGAAACGCTTAACGGGTTACTAAAGAAAGCGTCCTTTTATTTTCGCTTAAAACGTTTATTCTGTGCTAAAAGTAAACACTACATTTTCTTACCGTCGGTCGTTGTGGAACATTTAATCTTAATTAAGGTATACGTATAATTTGTAAAGTTTCTTAATTAACGTAAAACTAACAAGGGTTTTCTTTTGCAGGAGAGCGATCCTGACGAATCCTGACTTGCTACCCACTACACCATGGATTCGGCTGTTCGAGAACGACTTTTGGGGAACGCCTCTAACAGACAGCGGGTCGCATGGTTCATATCGACCTTTATGCGTGTTAACCTTCCGATTAAATTACCTGCTCGGTGGCTTCCAGCCTTGGGGGTATCACTTGGTCAACGTGCTACTCCACTGCCTCGCAACGGCTCTACTAGTACGAGTTGCACGTCACGTATTACCCCGTACGCGGTCGCCCATAGGGCCAGCTGTCACCGGTTTAATATTTGCAACGCATCCTATACACACCGAGGCCGTCGCCGGCGTCGTCGGAAGGGCGGACTTGGCCGCCTGCAATTTTTATCTCCTCTCGTTCTTGACGTACGTCGCGCACATGAAATACAGGGACTCTTTGTGTTGTATGGAAACGGTTCCACAAAATCGATGCAAGGACGACGTGGAAAAAGCGGGCGACAAAATAAAACAATTTAACGGTTCGAAATACCATCGATTCGTCGTAAATTTGCAGAAGAATGTGACAAACTGTAATTGGCCACGAAAGTTTGGACGCGTGACCGTTCATAGCGAAACTCTCGTCACGGCTGTTAAAAAAAATAGAGGCATGTCCGAAAATGAATTCTGTTGCTGGACGAGGACGTGCAAGCAATGGGGGTATCTATTTGCTAGTTTGCTTTTAGCGTTGGCGGCGATGTTGAGTAAGGAAACGGGGGTCACGGTTTTAGGTGTAAGCATATTGTTCGACTGTGTGACCACATCATCAATGCACAAGGTAAGTTTCTATACCTTTACTAGAATTACGGAGTCGTTAGATTTTACAATAGAAATAGGTACCTCATGTACACAGTGGGGATGAACCGTTTTGGCACTTTGTAGTTGGGGTAAAGGGCGACCTCCGAAACAGTATTGACCGTTGTAGCTGCTAGAACCGCCAAAATGAATTAAGCGTCCATTTCTACTACAAACGTATTTCTATTTATAATGAATAGGTAACAGAATTAGGGTTGCGGAAATAATGTCGGTTCATTTCTTAAAATTTCTTATGGAGCAGATATATATAGATCATAAATAAATATGAAATATTGTATTTGTTTATAGGCTAAAGTAGTGATAATCTATAGTTTAGGTTTAGCAGTTTTTTATCCAATTAAGTAAACACTTTGCCAAAGATTACGTAGTTATATACTAGTTAGAATATTAACAAAATTTTTAACGCATTTACTTCCAACGTCCCTATTCTTCATACTTTCTTAAAAAACGGATTTGTGACGCATTTTTTAATGTGCATGTTCCCACGGTACGCAATTTTATCTTTACTTAAATAACAAAATTGGTACTGTATAGACCCTTCTGTTTCCGGGGACAATGTTGATACAGCAATGTAGATATTACAGTTTTCCTTACAGCAGCATGACTTTGACTGCTATGTGTAGGCAACCGAAATAGAAATTGTTGCCCTACGGTAAATTTATTCTTTCTCATTGAAGATCCAGCACCGCAATTGTTTTCCTAGTTAATCCTTGTCTTTGATAATTACAAACAAATCACTATTTTCATTATTGTAATTGTATGGGGTGAATTATTTTATTTAACAGTGGGAAACATTTGCTTCACTGACTACGGAAAAGGAGAACATTCCAAAAAAAAGAACAACTCAATAGGGCGGAGTTCAGATTGGAGCTACCAAGATAACCCCGTCTGCTGTTAGTACCACTCAACCCTTCAGCAATCTATATTAATTACAGGTGACAAGAACAGTTGTTCAGAAAAATTATTAAATAATAATAATAATATATATAATGTTCAACAGAAAAAAAAAAATTTTTCAATTACAGGGCAACAACAAATTAATAGGTATAGAGTACAAAATAATATTGTAACGTTATTTATAAATTCGGGTTCGATTTATATCAATATTTATTAAACAAAACTAAAACACTATAAAAACTGTACAATTTATATCGAGTATTTATATCACACACTTCGCAATTTATATTTCCGCGCTCGATGTTTCATCTGTACTCGATCTCGTTTGGTAGTAAAAACTGCTTGCGATGTTCGGTCCGCAACCATTTATACACGCAAGCAATGTAAGTCAAGAACACTCGCGTAATTACCGGATAAGTCTGGAATATTCCTATACAAATCCCACTATCGCGCGCGTAGAAAATTCCAGAGCGCCAAAGGCGACGTCATGTCTGGAGCGTTTCCGTTACAATATAAAGAAAATGAAACGAAATTCTAAACTTATGAGAAAAATACTGTGAACATAGTAGTAGGCAAAAATCCTTGAATAACAAAAAAAGAAAATAATTAAATTAAGAGATATACCAAAACATAAAATACAATCTAAAGGGTAAACAAAATTTATTAACTAACACGTAATATAACTAAACATTTCGACAAATGTGGAATGAAATATGTCAATATTCGGGCAAATTGTTTCAAATAATTTACATGCGTTTACAATAGGAGATTTATATAAAATATTTGTGCGAGGTGTAGTTGTAGAGAACGAGGCATTGAAACGAGTATTGTGTGGAGGAATATGAAAATTAATGGATGACAACAGAGGCCAGTTAATAAGAGAGATAACTATAAGCGTGATACGCAAAAGCGCAAAAATATCTAGCCAAATTACATAAATAGAGAGGAACAAAACAATGATGCTACTAAGCATGTCTCTGTCTTTCAAGGACTATGAGGTACAATTTCTTTTTTAATGCATTAAAAGATAGTTGTTTTAAATAAGTTGGCAAATCATTGTAGTGGTTGGTTATATTATAACGGAGGGAAACAAACAAATTAATTTATCAAACATAGTTTCACTTTCTGAATCATGTGTTTATTTATTTATTTTATTTCTTCTATTTACTTCTTGGCTTTGCCGTGGAACACTGTGAAAGCATGGAAGAAAGGTAGACCCATACCTTTCTCTGACCCTATTGCACTAAGAATTTATTTATTTATCTATTTGTTTAACCCAGGGTTTAACTAGACACCATACAGAATAAAAATTCCAATTACATGGCACTGGGGCTCTGAACAAACATTAGGACTTAAGATCTAATTTGATTTATTATTGCATTTAGGGGATCGTGAAAAAAATCGATATCATTCACTGAGGAGAACGTATTTAAAGTGATCAAGATCTTAATAAGTGGGGAAGTTGTATTGCTAAAATGGTATTATTTTTCTTTAGATTACCAAATGTTTACCTTAAGCTTAATTTCTTGAAGCAATTCGGAAGAGTTTAACAAACTGTGTAAAATTTTGAAATGTCATGGTCTGGTATCCATTGTTTTTTTACGGGTACCAAAGACAACCTACAGTCTCAAGACCAACCTTTTTCGGAGGAGACGGAAATTATGATACAGCATTCATTAAAAGTGTCTCGTAGCCCATTTGTTTTGAATGTAGAAATATATGCGTATCAGATTTCTCATGATGACGTGTAGTCAATTCATCTAAAATGATTTCTGTGTTGCTAAGTACCTTTTACTACTTCGAGACAATGATGGTTGAAGACTTGTTTACTATCCATTGCTACCTTGCATGTAAAACGTGGTAAAACTCTCTTTTGTTTGTCAAATCACTCAGGAAATTTCTCCAGTTTGGGATACTCTTCTCCTAATTTCTTTGCTCCCCTTGCATCTAGTCTCAGCCTTCAAACTGGTCTTTTTATACACATCAAACACCATGTCAGTTCTGTTGTGTTTATTAGTGAAACCTACCACTGCAGGAAGTATCACATCTTGGACATATTTATGAAATTCGTGTTTCTCGGTGGCAGGATATTCATTAGCATTGATCCATCTATGATAATGGCATCAGCTTGTGGAGCCACATTTAATGGTTTGACTTTTCTTCAAGTATTTCTATTAGTTGTTTTTTTACGCATTTAGTTCTCCATTGTTACTGAGAGATGGAGATGCTGGATAGTTTTCATATTGAAAGAATTCAGAGAGACCACAATGTCTAAAATTTTATAAGGCCCCTCCATTCAGCCTCCAGAGCTGTTAATTTAATCTAATGTTCTTTATTTTTGTTGTGAAGCAATAAAATTGTTGTAGAGGGGATTACAGTAAATTTCACCTGTAAAAATTCTCTCTAGTAAATGTTCACCGAAATTTACGGGAACGCTCGCATCCAGGTAAATGCACTTCATGAAAGGGCATACAGTAGAATCCGGAGTAAAATGTTGATCTAGGTCCCAGAAAAATTCTCTCTAAAAGCATTGCCTTCGGAAGATGAGCGCCCAAACATTCACTTACAAAAGCGTGTTTTAGAGGAATCTCGCTTTTGGAATAACTTTAATATGCCCAATTATAGCGCGTTTGTTATTACTGTGAGAATCAATTAGTTAGAAACCGAATTTAAAGATAATGTCGTATTTCACTTTCTATAGAAGGCAATTTTTTTTTATTTACCCGTCGGGCGAGCTTCTTGGGAACGACATTCAAAAGGCGGTTGTTATTAGGCACAAATCTTTTAGAGTATTATTATGCAGTTCTCAGACGATCTAATCTGTTTTCATATAGAATAGTGCATTGTACGGATCTTTGGATTGTTGGACACTTGCTAGTACTCCTTAGCAGAATTTTTCGATTTATCTTCTGCAGTTTCTTTTAAATTTTCCGAGAGTGGTGCTTTGTATGTTTTTGGTATGTCAAATCGTCACCTCTGCCGTTTTAACCTGCTTTTAGAGAAATCTCCCTAGAATCTCGAAATAGTTGAGAATAGCGTGCACTTTAAATGTGTACCAAACTGGCCCATAAATTTGCTTGAATACATGTTCTTTTCTAACTAATGTCCTTAATGGCCAATATAATATTGATAAGTCGGCATTTGAAGAAATGGTGGTCATAATTCCTGTAGTAGGTACACAAATATTCCTAGAAAAATGGCTCGATCTTGAAAACCTATAGTTTTAATCACGAAGAACTACAAGCATTTTCCGATATCTTGGCATAATGGTATGGTATCCAAAATGTACTAATTTGTTTGGAGAACCGTTTAACCATAAGTGTCGATGAACTTCAAAATTTAGGTACGTAATGTATATGTTCCTCCTTTTTGAATTATACACTGCACAGGCAATTATACATCAGATACGTTCTTTCAATGATTCAATTCTGCATTAGTATATCATACCCGTGAGGTCCACCATGATCCTATTTCAATGTTACATTCATACCACCAATCTTAGTTTGGTTTACAAACCGTGTACCAAAAATATTTGATTTTTTTCTAAGAAAATTACAGTACCAAATTTAGGCAAGGAAGATACAGTATAAATGAGATTCTCGACAGCAATACAAGACAATTGTAGACTTAAGTGCATAGCGGATATTCCAAGGCACTCCTTTAACGTTGAACTTTCATAAACGCAAATTTTCCTTTGATCAAGTGTCTTAGTGCTTGAGGAAATGTTCTGGAGGAATTTATCTGAACAATAATATTCTATGGGCAAGTTTCCCAGGGACGAGATCAACTTCTCTGGAGGAGACCTTTACGAGCCGAATTTACAGGAACGAAGTCACAGAAGACATAACAACCCTATAATTGAATTATCTTAAGATGCAATTTCCTGAATGTCAACTTTTTTTGAATCGAAAGGCAAGTTGGGGCTTTCTTTCACATGAATTTTCATTGTCGTTACCTCTCTGGTGGAAGAGTATGCCGGCAGGGGCGAAATTTCCCAGGGGACGAATCTTCTGAGAGGATAATTCCTCGAAAATGAATTTTCCCACTACTAGGTTACTCTAGGGC